GGAACAGGACTCCGTGGGCTGTGCCACTTGTGGCCCAGGGATCCAGCCCCTCTGAACCCTCCCCCCCCTCCCCCTTCCTGTTGTCAGAGCTGCAGGCTGCACCCCCATCTGGAGCCTCCTCTCCTCCGCTGCCCACCAGGGGCCTCATCGCCACTGGCACCCCCTCCACCACAGCCACCACCCCCTCTCAGGCACCGAGGACCCCTAAAGGGCAGCGAGAGGCAAGCCTGAGCCTCACACCCCAGGCCTGTGAGTGCCACAGGCCGACCTTCCTCTCTCCCATTGACCTCTGAACTCTAACCGCTGTCTCCGCAGCCTGTGGGGGCCTCCTCCTGGGACCACGGGGCGTCTTCAGCAGCCCCAACTACCCAGACCCCTACCCGCCCGACACCCACTGTGTGTGGCACATCCAGGTGCCCGCAGACCGTGCGATACAGCTCAGGATCGAAGCTCTGGGCACGGAGAGCATGGCCTCCTGCCTCTTCGATCGCTTGGAGATCTCCCCCGAGCCGGAAGGCCCCCTCCTCAGGTGGGTTCCTCTCCCCCAGGAGGCCTCGCCTCTGTCCTGAATCCTGTCCGGGGGCAGCGCCGGGAGCGTCAGTGGATAAGGCCTGATTGGGAGGAAATTGAGTCTCCACATCTGAGCCCGGCTCTGCTACCCTCGTGCTCTATGACCTTGGGAAGGTCACTTCCCTTCTCTAACCAGTTTCCAAATCTGTAAAATGGATCCCCTACCTCCTTTCCCATCAAGAAATGTTGCAAGGCCCAGACGGTGTGGCTCAGTGGATAGAGCATCGGCCTGCAGACTGAAGGGTCCCGGCTCGATTCCCAGTCAGGGCACATGCCTGGGTTGTGGGCTCGACCCCCAGTGTGGGGCAAGCAGGAGGCAGCTGATCCATGATTCTCTCTCATCATGGATGTTTCTATCTCCCCCTCTCCCTCTCCCTTCCTCTCTGAAATAATTAAAAACATATTTTTTTAAAAAAAAAAAAGGAAGAAATGCTGCAGGGATGGGTGCCAGGTGGGAGGAAGCCCAGAGCTTCCTGGGAAATGACAGCAGCCTTTCCGACCACGTCGGCTCAGTACGCAGCCCAGGCGGGCTCCATCCTGCCTCTGAGCCGCTCTCACCCTCACCCGGCTTCTTGCAGGGTGTGTGGCAGGGAACCTCCCCCCACACTCAACACCAACGCCAGCCGCCTGCGCGTGGCCTTCATCTCAGACAGCAGCGTGGAAGGGCGAGGCTTCCAGGCCTGGTTCCAGGCCGTGGCTCCGGGGCGCGGTGAGTGTGTGCCCGCGTGGCCCCGCTGCCTGTCCCTGGTCCCTTCTCTCCCCAGCCGCTCCCAGCACTGGCAGGATGGGGAGGCTCTGGCGTGTCTGAATCAGGGTGCCTCCGCGCCCCCAGGGAGCTGTGCCCAGAATGAGTTCCCCTGCGACCAGCTCGCCTGCCTGCCCCCTGGCTTGGTGTGCGACGGTTTCGCCCACTGCGCCGATGGCAGGGACGAGAGCAACTGCAGTGCCCAGGCCTCAGGTACACGCCCCGCTGGCCTCAGGGGGCCGAGGGAGGGGGCCATCTTCAGGCGTCTGATCCAGGCTCCGGCTGGGCTCCCAGCTCTGGCTCCGCCCTAACCCGCCTGGTCCTTGTCTGGCCTAGAACTTGTTCCCATGGGCATGGCCAAACGTGCCTCTGCGGGTACAGCCAGGCCGCTGGCCAATGCAGGGCCCTCCTCCTCTCTCCAGGATGTGGGGGGAACCTGACGGGGCTCCAGGGCAGTTTCTCTGCTCCCAGCTTCCTGCAGGGGTACCCTCACCGACTGGTAAGCCGGCACTCCATGGAGAGGGAGGGTGGCTCTGGCCAGTGTGACTAAGAGCAGCACGGCAGACACTGCCTTGCCCTGGGGAAGGTCAGAGATCAAGCAGGCAGGAAGGGGCATTATTAAGTGCCTACTGTATACCTAGTTACTCCCATCCTCATTGATCTGAGAGCAGACAAGCTAAAAAGGCCCTTCCTATCTGGAGAAGCACCTATGATGAGCTATGTGGGCAGTGCCCACCCACTCCAGGCCTAGCCTGGATGCCCAGATTGGGACAGAAGGAACCTGGAATGACCCCAGCTATGCACCTCCCCCCCCGCCCCAGCTTTGCACCTGGCATATCTCAGTCCCCACCGGACATGGCATAGAACTGCAGTTCCTCAACTTCAACTTGGACGCCCAGGGGGAGTGCCAGTCTGACCACGTGGCGGTGTATGAGGCCAGCAGCTCGGGGGCACTCGGCCTCCTGGGCAGGTATCCGCAGCACCAGGGGAGGAACCGGCCCTCCGACCTTCGCAGTACCCCTCCCTGCTTCCTACCAATTCGCCCAACGTATTCCCCCCTTCCTGTCCTCTGGCTCCTCCAAGCAGGAGGTGTCTGCACTGTCCCCTACAAAAGGCCTTTGTTCCCTGCCCCACCGCCTCCAGGAGGCCCGCCCGGGGCCCCAGCTGCGGGCCATCCAGGCCTCGGGAACGCCCACGGACTTTCCCACCTCCAGTGGCTGGAGTTCATGCCTTTGTGAACACTGTCCACGGCACACGTGTCTCCCCCCAGACCCTGAGTCCCATGACCCAGGTCTGTCTCCCACCCCCTCCAGCCTCCCCAGAGCAGCAGGCTCCTTGGGCCTGGGGGGCCTCGGAGCACCACGCCTGCTCTTGCTCTGCAGGTTCTGTGGGGCAGAGCCGCCACCCCGCCTCCTCTCCTCGCGCCACCGGCTGGCTGTGCTCCTCAGGACAGGCCCTGGCGTCGGTGGTGTGGGCTTCTCAGCCACCTACCGGGCCCTGGACGCCACAGAGAGTAGGTGCCCTGGGACAGGTGCTGTGGGCAGTGAAGGTGCCTCCGGAAGAGGAGGGCAGGGCTGCGACCCTGGTCAGGGTGCCGCGGAGGCAGTGGGGGCAGATGTCCCCGGGCACTGCCCTCTGCCTGTGCCTGCAGAGCCCTGTGGGCCCACGGAGCCCTCCTGCCAGGACGAGGGGTGTAGGCACTGGAATTGTGACCCGTGGCGAGACTGTGCAGCGGGCAGCCCGGGCAAGTGCGGCGGCCCCTTGTCCCCACCTCCAGGTGAGAAGCTGCGTCGGGCCTGGCAGGGTGCCGTTCATAGCACACTTCATAGCCCGCCCCCGCGTCCTCCTGATGAGAGGGGTCACTCTCCTGACTCTCCATGGAGTCCTGTGTCACCCCAAGCTCAATGGGAAGCAATGCTGAGGCTTCCAGAACCAGCCCGGCCTGTCACGGAGAGAGAGCCCCTCTCCACAGCCCCCCTCAAAGAGGGAGGCAAAAGCTACTGAGGGCCTCTGCCAGTGCTGGTGCCCCATCCTTGCCCCCCGTGATCAAATGGGTGCCTGAAAAAATAGATATTACAAAAAGATTGCCAGCCCAGTGGGGGGTGCGCAGGAGGCAGCCAATCCATGATTCTCTCTCATCATTGATGTTTCTCTCTCTCTCTCCCTCTCCCTTCCTCTCTGAAATCAATAAAAATATATTTTAGCC